TGCATTCAGTGTTCTGAGAAGTGCCTTATGACCACACGCAAATACTGCTCTTTGCAACTTCTGTGTGTAGAGGAAAAAAAGCAGTTATTTTAGTATATGTGGTTAATTTAGTGTTGTGGTTTCACGCAGTTAATACAATAAATAAATGGTCTAAGTAGCCTTCATTTTAGGTAGCATTTAGGCAGCATTTAGGCTCTTGCAGCAAAAATGTCTACTTGTGTAAGGCAGCTTTGTTGCCTCAAGTTGGTGACTCCAACTTTTGCTAATGCCATAAAATAAATGGTACATAGTTAACAACCTAGAAAAGAAAGACACAACAAGAAATAATGTCTGGAAACTTGGAGTAGGACTAGGTGTTTGAAAATAATACCATCACAAGCTCTTCGTAAAAACACAGTCTGCAGTAAACAACCTGCCAAACAGCACTGGAAACAGTGCTGCACTGCGTATCTGAGCAATGAAATGCATTTAAGGTTCACACATAACCATAAGCGGACAAGCTCCTCTCAGCTGTCATCTCCGTGGGCCCACCTTGGACCCGTTCTCAGCAGCAGGTGCTGCAGGCCTTTTGTTGGCAATGGTTTCAGGGTGAGTATAAACACACCTGAACTGTTTTCAGCGCCATCTTAACAGGGCTGACCCTACTCAGTCTGGAAGCAATTTCACCACTATCTACACCACTGCCTGAGTTGTTTTCATCACCTCCACAGCTGCATCAACATCTGAAAACAAGCACAGATGTAACAAGCAACCACCCCTGGCAAGTGGCAGTGGCAAATCCTGAGGGTTTTAATCAGCAGCATGTTCATGGGGGCTGTGAAGATTTGAGCCTGACGATCAAGATGTAGAGGTCCCTGAGTGCCAGTGCAGGTGTGAATGCCAGCTTTCCAGGCAAAAATATTTAACAAGATCACTTTAGTGCAAAATAAAACTGAAATCATGGGCATGGAACATTTTAACTTCCATTTAGTATCACGGATGAAAAAGCCTTCTATCAAAGGCATGTTGCCTTCTATCAAAGATGCAAAAAGTCTTCTATCAAGCCCAGGAATATCACCTTTTCATAACAAAGTTAGCCGTGTTGCATTTTTCTCAACTGACTATCTATGTGGAGACTGGGATCTCTCCAGACTCTCTCCAAGGTCACAAAGGATGTGACCTTGGCTCTGAAGAACATAAATTCCCTTTCTTAATAAACACATACATAATTACAGCAAATCAGCTCCAAAGAATCATCTGCAGATCCTCAAAATATACCTTTATTATACAAAAATCATTCCTCTGTGGTTTATTTAAACAAGATACTAGCATTTCTGCCTGACACTTGTCCTCTGCCAAAGTGCTTTTCTTGAAGTCCCACTTGTACAAGGGCAACATCCCTGACCCTTAGGGCTAGAGCCAATTGTGGAAGAGTGGAATTTTAAAAATCAGGACAGCTTTCAAAGCACTTGAAACTGGATGGATGGATGGATGGATGGATGGATGGATGGATGGATGGATGGATGGATGGATGGATGGAAGAGGTGAAAGATTATTCTGAACCACTTGCATTTGCCAGTTTCTTCAGCCCCTGGCAAGTAAATGATGAAGGAGTTTGAAGAGGAGGTTAGCACCAGACCGGCAGCAGGAGAGAAAGAGCGGGAGATTCTTGCACCATGGCAAGCTCATGGAGAAAGACAGGCAATGCAAATGGGATGTTTTCAAGGAAGTAGATATTATGTAATTTCAGGTTACACACCGAGTAAGAGTGGATCAAAGAAAGAGGAAAGAAGATTGAAATCTATAGCTGTTCAGTGTGCTGGACAGTCATTCACACTTATATCTGAAGCACAAGAACCTGCATTGTTATGGTGATATTTTGGGAGCAAACAACTGAGCTCTGCCCTACAATGGAGACTAAAGGTGAAAGAAGAATCGACAGCCAGCAGCAGAAGAAAAAACAGGCAATGCACAGAAGAGAAATTCCTTAACTATTACCAAGACGCAAGCCACACTGAAGTTTTCCACAGAAAAGACTGCGAACTGAAAGGGTTCACAGATGTGGGGATTCAAATTTCGAGAGCCCTCTGCCCTCTGATCTTACTTATTGACTGGACTGACTATTCTTCTATTTGTCAGCCATGTTAAATACACCTCCTGCCTTTGGGTTTGTCTTCTCACTTTTTGGATTTTTTGTGGCTTTTCTGTGATTGCTGTTTTAACTGTTCCCCTTCAAGGGAAGTTACTGGAAGACACAACATGCCATTACAGAAACAGGGAAATTGTGGTATTTTCATAGATTTTATGTGACTGGTGAAAGCAACAGTGTAAATTGTTGTTATACACTGCATTGCAAACTTTAAAAAAACAGATCTGTTCCCTTCATGAGGTGGAATAAGCAATGGCTGATGCACATTTTTGATAGCCCTGATTCTCCTTCCTTTTTCGAAACAGACAAAGAGACTTCCTAGATTTTTTTTCTTTCCTCCAGTGGATTTTTGTTGTAAATTTTGCGAAGTGTTATCTTCTGGAAAGGTTACACTTTCTTGCCCCTTTTCTGATCTTTTTTTAGTGACACCTAAGCAGGAGGTCGCTTAATGCACTCCTGTCTCCATAGGCCAGCAGATATCAGTCTGTTAGTGCAGTGGTTTTGGTGTACTATTGCTTACCACGTTTTTGCCCTTTAGGTGCCAACCTGGATTCACTGGAGCAAGATGTACTGAAACACTGCCCATGAAAATCCAAAACCAAGAAAGTATGTTAAAATAATCTGAACTTTGCTTTCTTCCCCAACTACAGCAACAAAATCAATAGTACTTGGTGTTTTCACAGTTCAGCTGGAACCGGCCTCTTTATGTACTAATTTATGACCTGATTGTCTAAAGTAAAATCTGTACACCATGGCATTATTGACTTCCAAAATGTTTCTCATTTGTGTGATTTTTGATCTTTCCATCCGTTTGCAGATGCATTTGTATTGCACACACTGGCAGCTTTCTTGTTTGGGAGACTGCTGTAAAGTGCAACCCTAAAAGAACAAACTCACGGAGATGAGTGATGTATAGATCTTGTGTCCTCGCTGCCTTGTGGAAAGTGCATCCTAAAAGCAATTTGGGAATTCGGAATGGTGAATTTCTCGCTCACATCTCGAAACACAGTTTGATCTGGATTGGTTTGGTTTTGGCTGGTTTTTCAAGGTGGGGGGCGGGGGAGTGGCATTTCCTTTCATTTCCACAGAGCAAATGAGTTGCTCTCCACATCTTGAGCCATTTTGATATGCCAAACCGAGATTCAGTTTCTGAAAGTGAACTCACCAAGTCATATTAGTTCACACTGAAGGAGCTTCTTTCTTAGCATATATTCACCTCTTCTCTTTTCTCTGTTTTTTCTCTACCATTTTTTTTTGTTTCTTTTTCCTCTCAGGTGCCCAAATGAATTTACTGGTGATCGCTGCCAAAACTACGTAATGGCCAGCTTCTACAGTACGTCCACTACCTTTCTGTCTGTGCCGCAGTAGAAGCATGCTCAGTTGGTGCTGCTTTCTTGTTGCTGCATCTTTCCTCCAATTTTTTTTTTTTTTTTTAATCTGTAACTAGATTTGTTGCCTAAGGCCTAATATTGATTGTCTCTGCCTGTTGCATGAAAATTATAAAAAAAGCAATTGCAATACTCTCCTGGATTGTTTGGCATTGAGGTTAGGGGGAAATGCAAGATTTAGGAACGCTGTGAAATTAACACTGAATGGTGTGATATGGACTCCCCACTGACATCAAGCCGTAAAAGTGCAAAAATGATATTTTAAAACTCTCATGTTTTCTTTGCCACAAAAATCTCATGAGTCTCCAGATATGGAGAGTTGGGACAGTACTCCCACAACAAAGGGGCAGGTAGCTAATTCTCTACTTGCATATGAGATTTGTATTTAGACCTACAAATTAAAGGTAATTGACATGCTTACATTGTTTCTAATGTGTACATGCCAAACAGGATCAAAGTGTTCTTCTTCCTCATTGTCCAAGTTTCAGGGGAAAGATCAGAAAGAAAAAGAAAAGGGAGAAAGAAAGCGTAAACAATGGGGTCTGACATATTTATTTTTGGGTAACAGGTGCAAGAGATCAAGTATTTCAGAGCCTGATTAATTGACCAAAGAAACATGCCGGACAGGCACACACATACACACACACAGAGGACTCTGTCTATGTCAGACTGCTGGTAGAATCAGCACTGCAGTCACATATCTCATAAGCTTTCCCATGGAGGGACAGGTTAATTATTATTATTACTTGTCTGGGAGGAAGCAGAAAGTGCACTGAATTTTTATTTTCTCTCATTTGCTATAGCAAAGTCAAAGGTAACATATAAGAAAATTGCTTAGGTCTTACATTTTAATGCATGCATACTATTCATAATTAATTGTCTCTGGCATCAGAATGTACTGTGATCTAAGAACAGTGTTATAGGAACTTTTTTTTTTTTTTGGTGAATTACTTGCCAGCAGAGAAAGATTTCAGAGGCTATAGGCTAGTTTAATTTAATTTCCATTAGTATATAGGACAAGAAGCTGTTAGCATGTGCTGGACATATTGGAGCCTGAAAACATGCATAGGTTTTCTCTTATACTGATGGACAAAGAATGTCCATACATAATTCATACTGCCCATCATGGAAGCTACCCATGGAATTCCCCAGGGTGCTGACTGGACACCAGACCTTCCAGCTTTCAAGTGTGTATTTTATGCCCTGTTTTAAAAGCTTTATTAGTGTGGGTTATTTTTAAAATACCTTTAGTAACTATGGATTTGAAAATGTTTATGCTGTTCTAGTGTTTAAGTTTACCAAATGTTAGATTTAAATTGCCTTTTCTGTGTCTTGTGGTGAAAAGTGCACTTAAGGTTTTCTGAACTTAGAAGAATCATTTAAAAGGAGGTGGTATAAAAATATAAGATCCATTGTTTTCTACTGAATTTACCCTGAAAACTATGGAAGAATTGTATGTTGATCATAAATTCATTTTTCTACCAAGAAAACAACAAAAAGAAGTATTTTAAGTGTATTTTCCTTCATTAAATTTTCTGTTTCTTAACTCTGGTTGGGATTTTAAAGGAATCTTAGTGCAGTAGACACCAGGCTGAGATTTTCTGAAGTTGCTCCATGGAAAATGTACAGATGCCCTTGCCTTGCTGCAAGAGTTATGCTCAGCTGTAAGTACGCAAGCTGATCCAGCTGTCCTCTCCTTGAAATGCACCAGCAGGAGAGCACACCACTACCTATACCTCAGGCTACACTGAGAGCCCCAGTCAGTGGCTATGATACTCTGGCATTTCTGCCTACTCTACATCTGCAGTATAATGTCAGGTTCCTTGAACTGTTACAAATCTTAAAATGACACATTTGGAAAATGTCCAGTGAGGGTACATTTATATATAACAAAAAAAAGTCCATGAAAAGGCTTTTATATTACTTTCTATTATTATATCCAACACAGACCAGAGCATACAATTAAAAAGGAGACTTGGAATGAGAGTTATCTTCAGGCAAGTGTTGAATTTGGGGCTTAAAGCCAAGCTCATATTTTGCACCAAGTGTTGCAGGTGATTAACTTAGTTCTGTGCATGCAGCTTTTGCAAAGTACAAAGTAAATTGGGATACTAAACAACGTAAGTGCCAGTAGTCAACAAAAGTGTACATGTGAACTATACAGTGCTGTCTAATTTTATTTGCTTTCAGAAGGGTCTTTCTTCATTTGGAAAAAAGAGGATCAGTGTATTTCCATGCCATGTGTCCCTACTGATGAGCTGTTACTATCTTAAGGCTCTGTATTTGGCTGTTGAGAAAAAATTAGCTGGTACAGAAATCTGCCTTAGAGTTGGTATTTGCAAGACTCCTGAAGTTACAAGCTTTGCTGAGGGCCGTTTGCAAGATCAAAACAAGGCCAGTGCTGCGCATTTTGGAAATTTCCTGTACCAACAGAGTGCAAGGCTAACTGGCTTATCATGGCAGTGGTTTGGTTAGCCCTGGAGGATTCAGTTATAATGATGCACTAGAAACAGGTTGAAAAGGGACACAGGAAATTATGTCAATCTCCACTTTAATTTCTATTCCATAGAAATGTCTTCCCTTTCTGTCAGGGAAAAGTAGGCATAACTTGCAATATATATGAGGGAAACTACTGGGAAGCACATGTTTAGGCTGATCGTCCATTGGCTTCCAGCTTTGCTAACACACCAAACCAAACCTGTTGTGGCTGAGAGGTGATGACTGTTAGATTCCCCACTGCCACAGTAACCTCCAGCACTGCAGCTACACAGTTTTTCCCCTTTAGCTGGTGCTTACCACGGCTGAAGACCAAAGGAACCTAAGAACAAACTGTGCTAGGTTTGCTCATATCTGGAATCTGGCTGGCAGATCCTGTAATGTCCTTTCCTTGAATGCAGCAATCACAGCTGCTACCAGGTGTTTTCCCCAGTGCCCTGCTTTTTGCTGTCGCAGTTTTGACTGAGGCTCATGGTCCACTGTTGGTCCAAAAGACACCAGAAGGTCGTCCACAAAAATGTTGCAAAAATATGTCTGTTCCATACAGATATATATGCTGTATTTGAGTGTTCACACATTCACTCCCTTGAAGGAAAGGAAGCAAGGGAGTTGAAGGAATATGAAAGTGATTAGTTAACATTAAAAGTTGTGATAGGTTGACTGTGGCTGTGCGCGAGGTGCCCACCAAGCCACTCCATCACTCCCCTCCTCAGCAGAACACAGGGAGAAATTAAAGTGCAAAAAACCTCATGGATCAAGATAAAGGCAGTTTAATAAACCCAAAGCAAAGACTGCCCCTAGAAGCAAAGGAAAACAAGACTTGTTCTCTAATTCCCATCAGCAGGGGTTGTCCAGCCACTTCCTGGGAATTAGGGCTTCAGGAGCATAGTGGTTGTTCTGGAAGACAAATGTCATAATAGCAAATGCCACACACATCCCCTTCATCTTAGCTTTCATTGCTGAGCAGATATCCATATGGTATAGAATATCCCTTTGTTCAGTTTGAGTCAGCTGTTCAGC